ATTATTTAGAGTGCAAGGGACAATTATGTGGCAGAGTCAGATAGTTTTTATTGCGGGGTTTCGTATAACAAAAAATCCGTGTCTCACGAAGCCGTATCGACATCTATGAACTCTTTGTCCAGAATAACCTTCCGAGGTGCACCTATGTGAACTTTTTTGTTTAGAATAACCTTCCGAACACGCTAGCGAAGTTTGTCACGGTTTTGTCACGGAACACTCTGGGTCCATCTTTTATCAAGTAAGGAGAGGAATTACCGATCATGAAAACAAAACATTATATTGCAAGTGGTAGTATACTTGAATTTTCCTCCTCGAATTCTCGCTAACAAATGATAATTAGCGATTCATTCGTGTTTAATGGTACGTTAAGGACAGAAGACCTTATTAAACGTAGAGGAAAGTCCTCTATTATGAGATAGAATCCTATTTTGAAATAGCACGTCTTCAACTTCAATCCAAATTCAATCGCAAATCCTTTTTTCGCAACGATTACACGATCTAACAATCACTTTTCCCCGCTAAACAGATTTCACTCCAAGGCCAATGGATTCATGGTGGAATCAACAGACGATGCTTGCCGATTTGAAACTCGGCTATCTCATATTAGGAGTCTCTCTCATAATAGGGGATTTCCCCTTTAAGTATTAAAGAGAATTCTCGAAATGACGATTAAAATCGAAATCTACAATTCTTTTGAACGTTGGCGCGGACGTGAAACCTAGGCAAATTGTCGCTGGAAAATGAACTCGCGTACACGATTGAGTCGCAGATACCGAGACTTGATCTTCTGAAATTCAGGCGAAGTCGTAATATCCAATTCAGACAAATTGTTGAACGTATCCGAGTCTGATGTACACGTGCACGTACGCGGCACATCGATCACGACGAATAGTGGCAAGGGGGTGAATAGCGGTTTCGGGCTCCTTGCGCAGTTCTCACGTCGCGCGAGCGATCGTTCACGTCCCGGCGATAATATCTTCGTTGCTCGAACTCTCGTTCTTCGGATAAAGGAGGTTTTGATCGCGGCGTCGAGACGCCGCTCGTCCTTCTGCACCGCGTAACGAGGCATTGTTCCGTCTCGCGGAGCGATAAGCTGATTCGTTAACGTTTCCCCAGAGCCGTTAATTCCGTCTCGGGTGGAAAAACCAGCTACGATAGGGGTCTCCGACCTACGTTCCGTAGTCCTTAATAAAATTCAACGATAGTCCTGCTCGTTAAATATTTTTTGATAATTTTTAATCTGACCGCCCTAGCGGAAAACATTTCTACAAATAGCTACGAAAATTGACTTGAAGTAGAAATTTGTAGAAATTTTTATATCTTCGTTGAAGCATTTATTTTTTTTTTGCAAAAATATCTACGAAATAGTGCCACAAATTACAATTTTCCCAAATCAAGTTTATTTTATTGTTCTAGATAAATTCGTAAAAAGTTTAGAAAAGAAGCATATCTTATCGAAGTGGAAAATCGATCAGGAAACCTCCGCTGTTTCCCGAAAATGCGAAATTACTACCGTTGATACCGCGTTCTTTTCCGCCTGAGTCTCTCGCGTTCGTTACTTTCGATATATATCGCGACTACGTAACGTAAAGAGCCACAAAATGCAGACAATGCGCCACGTCGCCCGGAAACGCTCGCGTCGAAAAATGAGCCTCGTAACCGTTGGGACATACGTAGGATAGGGAAGAAGGAAGGTGCAGGCACACAGACCGTGCTTGGGGAGCCACATGCGCGTACCGGCAATCCGGGAATGAATCTGCGTCATAAAATGTACCGATGTACTTCCACCGCGGAAAAAAGGCGAGCACGCAGCCAACCTTCAGAAACCGCCCTTAGAACCGCCAAATGCATTCGCGTTCGCGTGCACCCCAATTCCTCTGCGTGTCAGAAATTAAAGAACCCGACGGCGACGTGAAAAAAAGAAAGACCGCACGTCGACGCGAAGAGAGGCGGGGGAAAAAGCCACTTCGTTGGATAATATTTTATTCATTCGAAAATGTTTAGGAAAAAACACCATTTACATGTTTGTTTCACAAACACACAATCCCTACGACTTTTAATATGAATTGTTGACTTTGGCACATAAAATATTTTTCGAAGGAAATGTATTTCTGGAAATAGGACAAGTAAATGCGATAACTTCT